GTTTCTCATGGCAGCATGCTACGAATGCTTGTTTGACAGTGGGCCACTGCTGATCCACACATATATAAAGGGACTTGCAGTGCTGGCTCGTCTGACGGCTCTCACCTCTCTTACCTTGAATCTCTGTGAGTCCAGCGTGTTATTCTGCCGTGAATTGCTGCGCAAAGGTTGTTTGTCGTCGGTCGTGGCCACTGTGTGCTCGTGCATATGATTGCTGGCGATCTCTGGTGATCTAAGTTCATCGGTGGCGCGCGTTTGGCAAGTTCGAGTGGCCACCCTCCGACCCTTTCACAGCGACCTCCACCAGCAGCTCGCTCATCTATCGTGTATTTGAGCAATGTCGTTCTGACTACCCCATTCTCATACTAGATCTCACAAAGATACCCGTACTAGAACATGCCCAAACGCACGCCGACGCCTCCACCGTCGGACGACGAGCCGCGGTACTTGACGGTCGTGTACCCCTTCCCTGCGCATGCAAACATGGAGCTCGTTCATGACTGCGCCGAATTCTCTCGTTGGCTGGCGTGCATTGTTGGAAAAGAGGCATTGATCGCTCTGTTCCACAAGCCTTCGGTGCGTGCCGAGTGTTTGTTGTCGTGAAGGCTTAAATCCCTCATCGAACATTCAGTCCCCCAACATGATTATCATCGAGGTCTCACGTGACTTTGGTGAATGGAACACACTCTTGGGAGAGCACCGCTGGTCCGAAGTATTCAAGAAATGTGATCCGAAGGAGAAGGAACGCGTCTCTCAGATCTTTTGGTGTCAGTTCAACACCGGTCGCCAGGTTCAGAAATACGGTGTGTATTACTTCAATATTATCTGTGGCTCCGTGATGCTGAACCTGATGCACAGGGTGGAAGCGAGTATACGTGGAGGACAGATGGTTCGCCCAATGGAGAGTTCCGAACGGGTATGTCTATGCCAACCCATCTCATAGTCTAGCTGAGCGCAATTTTTAGCAATGTTGCTCATCCGTACCCTCCCACTCATTGGTGTGGTGTCCCTGTTGAGGACAGAACCAACGCTCCACTGTGTCGCCCCCTTCCTGTTGAATCGTTCCCACCTCCAAAGGCTGAGACTGGTCGGCCACCTCCAGGTAGGTTAGCATGAAACTCAAGGGACATTTGCCTTACATTTCGAATCAGTTGGTTCCGCCGCATGGGCAATTGCAAAGCAAGCTCCGCCCACAAAGATTGATCCTAAGAACGCGTGGGGACGGGGGCCTCCTGCCCTTGTACTAGTACCCGACCAACAGACTTTGTCTCCACCTCCCTCAGCCTCCAGTAGCGGAAGCAAAGGTAAATGTCGGTTCAAAGTTGAGCTTTGCGCTCACTGACAGTTGAGTTTCCAGCTGGAAGCGTATGGGGAGCATCTCGTTCTCCCGCTATATTCGCACCATTACCTGTGCATGCAGCGCCCCCCGGACTCCCTCCTTTGAATACCCCATATTCCTCTAGTTCAGACTCTCCTTCATGGACGAATACTCCTGGTCTGACGCGTGAGGTAGGTAGCGGCTCCGGCTCTGGATCCGACAACAGTAGCGACATCCATGGCAGGATTCAGACTCCTCCTTCTGCGTCGGAGACTTCCGACATGTTTGTGGCCGATGGTAAACTTGAGGACGCATTGGGCGAACTAAGTTTCCACAGTCCCTCTTTGGACGGCGAGGATGATAACAACTTAGTTCATGCCGTCTACGATGAGCAGCCTGTTGAGGCCTCGGAGAATTTATGGGCAGACTATAACAAGGCAGAAGAGCCGCAAGCGTCAGACGAGATCATATGTCCCGCCCACGGCAAAAAGCTTTGTCCACGAGGGATATGCAAGGAATACAAACGTCTTAAAAAGGCTATGGAGCGAGAGAAAGAAGCGGAGGTCAAAGCCGCTGAGATCTTTGAGAAGAGGAACAAACAGAAGTCCAAAGGCAAGAATTTGGGTAAGTGCTTCCTTTATAAAAGTTGAAACACTTCATGCCGTAGAGCTAACTGTTGGTTAGAACCTAAACCTTCAAACAAAATATCATACTCGATTCCTCGAGAACGGCCTGGTCTTTCCATCAGTAACAAGATTGCTCGTGGTGCGACCGAGTCTCCTTCGGCACCTGCATCTGCGCCTACCCGTGCCAAGCCTGCTCACCTCCTGAGATCGACCTCTGTGGATGTTACAGCTGATGGTGCTCCTCCTGTCCGTCCTGCGCGTGGCCGGAAGATGAATAGCAACCCAGTCATCACTACGATCCCGGAAGTGAAGACTAAAATTCGTCCCAAAGACAGCGACGCAGTGTCAGTGGCTGCTAGCTCTGCCAGTGGCTGGGGTAACGTCTCTCGAGGTCCTTGGGGGGGCTCGAGCGTTGGAGCTCCTTCTGTTCGGGATGAGGACGACGGGAACGATGACGACGATAACATGACTGTGAACGGCTCCGAGAAAGGCGTTGGCAATAAGAGCTGGGCGGACCAGATGGAAGAGGAGGACGACAACCACTCTGTCGCTGCAAGCTCGGCGAGTGGGTGGGGTACTATTTCGAACGGACCTTGGTGAACTGCCACTGAGGCATTCTTCTTCATTTCTTCATTTTCCCTTAGTCGTTTTGCACGTTCTCGCAATTGTCGCGCTAATCATCCTATCACGTTACTCTGTATTGAGCCTTTCTGTGTTCCAGCTATCCTCTTGTCCGCCTGCACTGTTGGGTTCTAGCTATGTACGTTTGCTTTTATACTACGCTGTCGTTCGCAGTACATGTCTGTTGGATGTCAATTGATTGGTCAAGCACCCATGACATGCAGTAACATCTCCGTCTTGCTGGGCTGAATTGTAACTGATCTGAGTCTTCGTGTTCAAACGCCTGCGAATGCTCACATGTACTCACAGGCGAGTCGTGGGGCTGGCTCACTCCTCCGTACCAAGCCCATTCTGCAGTCGAAATCTTTTCACGCCATCCTCACGGCCCCAGGGCACTTCCTCTTCCCAGTGACTAACGACGATACAGGCTTGACCATCCTCGAGACCTCCATCCCGGAGATATGTCCTCGCCGCCTGAACCATCCCGTCGTCCATTCCCGCCCACGCCTCGTCCAGCAGTACCAACGGCGGCTTCCCAACCAACGCACGCATTAGCAACACCATGGACTGCTCACCTCCCGACAAGTCCGCAAACTCTCTCTCCGCAAACGCCTTTGCCTCTTCCTCACTCGTCTCCTCCCCTCGCCACGTCGCCGGCCCCAAAGCCCCAATCACATCCCACAACCTACGAACACGCCACCTCTCTTCCTCCCCGCCTTCCTCTAGTTGTGTTCCGTCCGTCCCATACCCAACGCGTAACCGACCGTGTGGGACAAAGTTCCCCTCGAAACCCGTGCCTACAGCATCCCACACCGTCATCCCCCGCCTCCTCGGGAACGCGTTGTGCATCTCGGGGGACACGCGTCCGATACGGGCGTGCAGGTGCGGTGTCGCCCATTTCGCGCGCGGACGCGAGAAGAGGGTGAGTTGCGGGGATTGGGCGTACGATTGTGGGTGTTCGCCTGTGATCATGGCGAGCAGCGTCGTTTTCCCGGCGCCGTTGGAGCCGAGGAGGTGCCAGCGGGTGTTGAGATGAATTGTCCAGTGGATGTTCTTGAGGACCTGGGGTGGAGTATGTATGTTAGGCATATGGAAAGTGATTTTTGATAAGGGAGAGGTGCTGACCTTGCGATCACCGTAAGTAACGTTGACGCCTGCGAGGTGGATGACTGCCTCAGTTGGCTCGCTCGCATGTTTGTGATGTGTTTGAGGATGGGGACTCCAGCCTTGATGGACAGAGCCGGTCACGCTGTCCGCAACCTCTCCTTTAGTGCCAGTATGAACGGTCCCGTCTTTGCGTATCATTGCAAGGTGCGTCGTCCATTCGGGTATAGGATCCTGCGGTCGCATTCCTAGTATGATATGCGGGGAGTTATCGTTATGAAGAGATTGCAGTAAAGACAGCACCTGGCCGCGAGTCGATACGTCGAGTCCAGCTGTTCAATGAGGCTGTCAGCAGCCGAACAATAATTCTCAAACTCAGACCGACGTACTGAGAGGCTCGTCCAGGATGAGCAGCTTAGGCTGGTCGAGCAAAGCTTTGATCAAACGCGCCTTTCTCGTCTGCCCGTTACTCAGCGCAATCACCGGCAAGTCCAAGAACTGGCACAAGCCCAACTCGACCGACAACTTGTCAAACAACCGTCTCCTCCTCGATACTCCCTCTTCATTTGGACCCTTCGCATCGGCAGAGTGCACCGACAGATCTGGAACAGCCAGCTGATGAATTGGCTTTGCTAGCTCGGGAAAGAACGTCTCCCTCAGCGTGCGCTTGTCCTCTTCCCTCACCGCTCCATACCGCGCTGTGAAGTCGTAGAACGCACCGCCTACGCTTCGCGGCCGATGCGCGAAACTGAGGAGGTGTACGTGGTCGTGCGGATCCAGGTCCGACAAGAAAGGAAAGAGTCCGCCGTCGGACGGGGAGGGAGGCGGTTGTAATCTGAGGTGTCCGGTGAGAGCTTGCAGCAGCGATGTCTTGGCTCCTCCGGAGGAACTGGTGGAGGTAACGACCCATGCCTCCTCTGGCTGGATTGTCCAGGAGACGGAGTGAAAAAGTGGGCGAGTTGAGGTGCCTGCGCCAAGGGGGTAGATGGAGGATTTGGGGATGTGGAGGATGGGTCTGGATGGGGTGGTTGTTCTGGAGAGGGAGGCAGATTGAGCCTTCGTTAGTAGCTTTAAGGAGTGAGTTTTCGTGTAAAGTAGCATGGTGGATATCCTCTACCACTCAGAGCAATCTCGCATGCCCTTGGAGAACGCTTGTTGTCGGTCTGAAAGGCATTCGAGAGCGCAAGGTGATAGAATGAGTTTGGGCACTTCTGGCTGAGTCACGGAACGGGATAATGATTAATGCTTCAACAGATTTTACTTACTGCAGTAAGCATAAGCATGCTGCCTCACTCAAGGCTACATATCCCTAAAATTGATTTGTTTTACAAGGACCCCTAGCTCAGTGGTAGAGCATATGATTCCAGTGCTGCCGTCTGTCCAGCCTGCGTCTGCATCCATAAGGTCGTCCGTTCAATCCGGGCGGGGTTCATGTTTTTGGGTCAAACTCAACTTTTGCAAATAACCAGGAGAATATTCCGAGGATCGTAAAGCAGTGCCTTACAAGCGTTAACGTTGTCTGGTCTGCTCTGAAGCTTAGGGTACGGGTGGGTACGTACTACCTCGGCAACCGCAGCCAGGAGCACCAGGTAAGTTACGCTCCATGGGTTGACTGGAATATTTGCCGGCGAAACGTAGCCATGACCGTAGCAACATTGCATGCAACTGCATCCGCCCTCGCCCGGAGCGTGCGTGTGTGGACGGCAGCGTTCGTCAGCGACGCTCACTCTTTTCTCGCCGTGCTTGATCATTACCTGGCAGCTTGCTAGTACATATTGAGTAGCTGCGCTTTCCATTTATTCACCTCCTTCAATTAGATGAGGTGGACGCGGCTTGCCCACTTACCACCATCGTCTTTCAGGCGGACAGTACCACCACCCAACATCCTTTCCACCTCACCTTTCACGCGCAATACTTCCACAATGTCTTCTACGGCTACCACTGGGATTTTGAGAGCAATCACAGTCTCTCCTCCTGTGGAAGAAGTTACCAGCCACGAATCTGGTGACAAGCCTGCTCATCACGTCGACGGCGGTTTTGTCAATCCATGGCCTTCGTTCCGGTGAGATTACACATGTATCAGCATCATACTTGCGCTAACCGCGTTCCAGTCTCAAGTTCAATTGGACGTTCCCTTTTAGGGTACGCACGCCCTCCGTCTCTATGGACTTTCTATATCTCACCCATCGCTCAAAAGGTCGGAGCGAACCAGATTTGTAATCAACCTAAGGTTCCGGCAAACATGGCATCTTTGATTCCAGTACACGCTCCTAATTGGGGCCTCGGCGAAAGCCCTACCGCAGTCAAGGCTACATGGCTCGGGTCAGTTGTCTTCTTGGCAATACTGGCTGGATTAAACACACTAAACTGCCCATATGCAGACATGCCTGCTACCTCGTCGAGCTCCCCGCGCCTGAGGGAGCAAAGCGAGGCGCACGAATCATCTTCGATCCGGCGTTGTCTCACCGATGCTTTTCCTCCGAATATCTCGGGCCAGCGCGAATCACACGTAGGTACTCGCGCTCATAATGCCTCTTCATGACACTCAGCGCGCGAGATGCAGCTGTTCCTTGCGAGATCGAGGACATACCAGAACTGGACGCCATCGTCCTCTCGGTGTGTATCCCCTTCCAGCATAGTAACGTGCTTGCAACTGACGTCTGGATAGCATAACCACTATGACCAGTACGAGATTATCTGAAGCCAACCACAGCAGTACCTACTGATGCCCAATACATCGCAGCACCGATACAAAGTCTCTTCAGAAGCTGGTGAAGCAACACAGCCCACACGTGTTCGCACCTCTCGGCAACCGGCCTTACCTTGAGTCCTGTGGAATCTCTTCCACTAGCATCCACATTCTTGATTGGTGGGGCTCTAACGAGGTCACCGTCGAGCTACCTTCCACCACCGACGAGAAACGCACCGCCTCGTTCAACGTCATCTGCACGCCCTGCCAACACATATCTGGCAGGTCCGTGACAGACCGCTGTAAGACTTTGTGGGCCTCGTGGGCCGTTGAAGAGATTCTACCAAAGGGATCGTCACGCACCGATTCCAAGAAAGTCTGGTTCGGAGGCGACACTGGCTATCGCACAGTGTTTGAGGGTGAGAACGAGGCAGACGTCCCCACCTGCCCTGCCTTTGCTGAGATCGGTGAACGTATCGGACCGTTTGACCTAGCTATGATTCCGATCGGGTAAGAAGGGTTTCCTTCATATGATCATGATGGACCAGTTCTGAATGGGTGATGCACAGAGCGTACCATCCTCAACATTTCTTCTCGAGCGTACACGCGTCTCCGATGGACAGCGTACGGATTTTCGAAGACGTAAAGGCAAAGAAGGCTTTGGCTATGCACTGGGGGTACGTCTCCGCTTAGCACTCGCCGCGTGGGTTCACTAACAGGCCTTGCTCGTACAGAACCTGGCTGCTTACTACAGAACCAATCATGGAGCCACCGGAGCTTCTCAGGAAGGAGTGCCACAAGTCTGGTATTCCAGAAGGCGATTTCGATATCTGTGGGCTTGGAGAGACCAGGGTGTTTTAGATCAAGCGTTGAACAGGACATTGCATTTTACGACTTCAGAGTCTAACGATACCTTAATTCTCGGTTTGTTCGCAGTAATGAGTATTGTAAGCGTGTTTCGGACTGGTACAAGTATGGCATGGTTGTGGTATTCAAGAATGATCTTCAGCTGAAAAAATACTACAGGCTAATTAGGAGTGATCTTATACTCAAATCTCTAGTCCTCTTTGAATTTTGACTCAGCTAGACTATATATTGTTACCTATCTTACATTTTAACTCACAGCTGTCTAAGCGAGATTATATTAGAACTATCTTACATGATTATATACTCTCCAGCAAGCTTCAACTTTTCATTGAAATATGATGTCTATAGCTGTGTGATAGCTATGGCAATCTGTAAAGGGGTTTACATAGAATATAGGGCAGAGATCCAGCACATAACTTGAACACCACTCTCGGGATGCGACTAGTCCCTGTGACTGTGGCCCTGAGGCGCGTCACCGTCATATTCACGCTTCGTGACAATCTTCAACTTCAACTCTGTACTACCATGTCCGCCACGTTAAGGCTCAAGTACCTCGCTCCGCACCATCCACACCTCAGCGCAGGTACTGTCCGAGTGCAAGCTGAAGACACCATTTTTGAAGTGATCGAGTTAATATGTAAAAGTTATCCCAACTTGAGCGCTGCCAACACAAACGATTTGTACAAGGTTAGAGAGGCGCAGTGCCTCAGCTGTATCTGCACTGACCTCAGTACTCTCCAGTGTTCCAACTTTTTCCTCGAACCGACGGATAATAGGCATGAACGCGCACTGGCTGTGTTAGCCGCGGGCAAGTTCGAGAGACTCAATGAATTGCACACCGTCGGCAAGCACTTTTCAGCCAATGCTGACCGCAGTGAGCAGCTTGATGTGGTCATTGTGCCGAGGGCATCTTTTAGGGATGGAATTCATACGCTCGCAGCAAGCGAGTACGACAGATACAAGAAGTATCATGAGACATTCATCAAAGTCTCAAAGCATGACAAGTTCGAGGAAGGCGATGTCCAGCTGAACGGAATACAGGAATGTCCGCCAGAACGAGTCCCCGAGTTCGTAGCGAACTTTAAAGACCTGCTGACCAAGCAAGCAATCATTTCCACAGAGGTGAGTATGATCATTGTCGTCCTTTCCTGATTATTGAGTAATTCAATACTGGCCAACCATCAGTGCCAATTTCCCGGCACCCCTGACGGTGTATACTTATCGGAGGACGAGGATTCTCAGCATAGCGTATCTCAGCAGGAGGGCCATTACCGGCTTGCTGGTGAAACAGAAGCGGCTCATATTCAATGGTTGAGATCTTTAGATTGGGAAAGACTTTGGCGGTCACCAAACTTGAAGGGGGCTCTCGAAAATGCTTTGAAAGAAGACGCATTCCATGCACTCTACTCCTTCGGTGCTATGCTTGATCTCCCCGAAGATACCAAGCTCACTATTATGCGGTACGTATTCATGCTTGCCTCGCTTCTTGCAATTAAACAGGGTCTTTGCAGAAAGACGCAATCATGGCCTTTCATGCTTATCATCACATCCGCTGAACACGACGCAACTTCCAGACTCGAAGAAAGATATCGAACCTACAGACCTAAGAGCGACTTTTCGATTTGGAGTTCAGGTCTCCCTCGCCTACTTGTAGAAGTGAACTCGACTCAACCTAGAAACGGGCTCATGCCTTTTGACCAAGTCAGACTCCTCCTGGCTGGAGCCTCTGTCGTTCGTTTCGCGAATCGAGGTGTGGCCGAGTACAATCAGGAAAAGAAGTTTGTTCTCGTATGCGTATATGTCGAGGACAATGGCACGACCGTCCGCTATTTACTTTTTCAAAATTCTAAGGACAGCGCCGTACGTTCACTGTTCTTCACCTAAACCAAGCGTCTGAAAACTTATCATCCTTAGGTCTACTACACCAAGGACACTTTTCTTGTTAGCAAGTCTCAAGACCGTGTCATCTTTGCTCGCGACTTGCATAATCTCTCGTATATGTTAGGCCGTAGCCCTGAGGACAACGACACGAAGATGAAGGTCAGCGAGTTCACGCAGGATGTTTGGACAGCAAAAAGATATTACAACCTGCCCTCCGCCCATTCCAGGATTACTAAGAGCAAGAACAAGAGGCGTAGGCCCAATGAAGATGACCATGAAGACAACAACGGAGGAGGTACACGAGGAGAGTCTGCACACGCGGACGAAGACAAAGGCGCGCTTCTGAGGTCGATTGGATATGGAGTGGAACCGGATATTCACGTCGATGAAAGCGGCGGCGAGTGGGGTTCGTTGGTCGAGGTGAGACGGTGTTCTATAATGGTGACCGTGGTATAAGCGCTCACGTACGGTCTTTTAGTATCCGGCGCACATCTTATCTGTGTACAAACTCTCGGACAGGAGGATGAGGTTCATCGCGAAGAAGGTTCGCAAGGGTTCCGACGAGCTGAAGATCCTCCAGCTTCTGAAGACTACCAAACCAACCTGTGATCATGTCATCCATTTGTATGACTGGGTCAGCTCACCGTCAGAGTCGTGGATAATCCTGCCCGAGATGACACCCATTGCGAACTACCTCTCTACCAAGCTACATCCGTACACGGCACGTGTTTGCTCAGGCCTCATCTATGGTCTGGCTTATCTGCACAGGCTATCTATCGCCCATTGCGACATCAAGCCCGCCAACATTGTTGTCGACCGCTACTTTTGTCCGAAGATCATCGACTTCGATTGTGCCATTCAGCTGAAGGACGAAGACGAGGAAGTTGTTGGTTCGTGTGGGACGGAGGGCTGGACGGCGCCCGAGGTGTCCGACTCTTCATTATACAGCCCACTCCGGGCTGACCGATGGTCATCTGGGCACGTCATCTTGTACC